AGTGTACCTGTTCCTTTTATTCTTTGAAAATGGTTGTACGAAAGTATTTTTACATTATTTTTCATTAAAAAAACCCAACAGAAAGTGTCTGTCAGCAATTTTACAGGAGAAACAAAACGCACTGTACTTGAACTTTGTATGCAGAAGTCACGCTGGGATTGTTCATCAGACTGTCAAGTGGTTCTTGATATAGCATGTGGCTATTCAGAGCATACTACGACAAGTTTCCATGACACATTTTGAACTTTTGTGTCGGAGGCAAAAAATACACAGTTTCCTCTGAGAGCATTACCTAAACTACAAAAATAGGTCATAGAACTGCTTTCAGGTCCTTGTCTCTGAGACAAAAGAAGAAAGTTAAACTCCTGTCTTTCACATATGAATCCCCTGCCTGATCTGTTTTCTTCCCCTTATGCAGAACTACGTCTCATCAGGCTCTGGAGAACCAGCAGGTGATGAGTATCACTCATTTGTGCTTTACCACAACAACGGCCCCAGATGGGCCGAGCAGATCAAGCTACCTATTCCTGTGGACAAGTTTCGGGGTTCGCACGTGCGCTTCGAGTTCAGACACTGCTCCAGTAAGCACAGTGTTTGTTCTCCTACCTCACCTGTATGACATGTCCTCATCCTCACACTATTCATAATTTGCATCATTATTTTGTGTGCACCCACTATACAGTAAATATTAACTCTATCACCTATTATCAATGTGTTATTTGCGCATGCAAACTTTCAAGCACAAGGTGTGACACACTTGATCCATTTCATACAAGAAGCATTTAAACAGAGAAGTGACAGGAGTCATCCTTGGCCACCCAAAAATGACCTGGAAATTCCTGTTGATTTATATCTGCATCGTCCTACAGCTATTGTGGTTAAAATCACTCTAGTGGTGATTTTAGCCTTAAACATTTGTCCACAGGCAGAGTGAAGTCACTTCTCTTTTCAGTTCATTAAAAGTGTTACACAATTTGGTAAATCAAAAAAAGTGTCTGTGTGGAGGGGCTGGGTGTCCTCTACATGTTCTGTGATGAGTGCAGGGTGAATCACTGTCTGGGTGTTGTCAATGGGATGTCTGTCTCTTCTTTTTGCATTCTGGAATCCTAGAATGGATAGCTGTACACCCAGGCAAAGAAAGGGATCATGTCTCATTACTAATTTTATAGTGTATGGATAGATGGGTAGAGAGAAATGGGTAGTACTGCATATTTTCAGTCAATCTGTCAGTCAAGATAAAAAAAAAATCCCATACAGTGGGTGTATACTGTAGGTTTACTGTCTGCATTTTACTATTGATTATTGTTTTGAAAATGCTCCTTGATAGAATAAAGTAGGATTATTAAGTCACACTTTGTAAAACTAATTTTGGAATGTGTTATTGATAGAATGCATTTAACATTAAACATCTCCTTTAAGGTGAAAATCCTTGCCTTTTTGTTTAGTCTTTCCTTCTTGCAGGCATCTGGTATAAATGATCTAAGAATATGTTCATTCTTTTCTTTTGTGACCAGCAAAAGAGAAGGGTGAGAAGAAGCTGTTTGGGTTTTCCTTTGTTCCGCTGATGCAGGAAGATGGCAGGACCTTGCCAGACGGCACTCATGAACTCATTGTTCACAAGGTAGAAATACAATTCCGCACTGAATCACAGTACTGCACAGGAAAAGTCTTTAGAACGCCAAGGAGAGAGGAGCTGGTTTACAGAAAAAAGGATGACCTCTGGTGGCAGCTGCTAAACTGTTATCATTTTCTGTCCAGCAAAAGTTTGTTTTTTTACACCGCCCCCTTTTTTTCTCACATTGTGCATCACATCTAGCATCCCGCTGATGCTATATTGAAGTTCCATTCCTCTTTATCCCCACTGTAGGATTTTGTTGAGCTTCGTGGGTACATTTCAAATCAGTCTGCCCACAGCAATCTGAAGTGGGGAAGTGAAGTAACTCGATACGGGGTTGAAAATCTCTCCT